GCTTTCATGGCAATGATTTACTCATAAGATTCCAGCCCTTGGCTGGAACATCTCAACAATACATGCATTCAGACTCTGCTCTACTGTACATACTGGGTGAGACAGACATGAACACATCACGATCCCAAAGGTATGATCACATTGTCTTAAAGGTCAGGAACATTCCACATGTATTTCTTTTGTCCTAGAGTTGCCAAACGTTTCTGTTTTTAACAGAGTTAATAATGCTTAAGCCAAACATTCGGGAAATGAAACGGGCAATAAAAACCCTTGAAAGAGTTCCAGGTTTTTTACTAGGTTTGTAACTTTTCCCCTAAACGTTACCTTTTCTGCCTCCTGGCATAGGACAAGGCCCTAATAATTTTACCTATACACAGAACGTTCCAGAATGTAAGAGCGGTTTTCAAGCCCTGCTGGGCATGTACCCAATCTGAAAAGTCAAAGTAACACATAAAGTAGATGTAAAACAAGCTGAGGTCTTTGGATGGAGCAGGCCAGCAGTCACATATGCACTTCACAACACGACAGAGCTCCTCCACGACACAGGCAAAGCTTTGGGCGATGTGGCAGAATGATGTCCGCACCATACTGGGCATCTCAAAGGCGCTCACATATCCAGTGAAAAGACACTTCTTTCTTTTCTTTAAAAACTCTCTGCCCTTAGCACACAAGGGCAGACTCCATTCACGTCATGGAGAGGTCCAGAAAGAGAGATGTGACCATACTGCTTCCTGCAGCACCGAATATACACGTGGCCTTTATCCACGGGGTGTGTGTGTCGTGCGCACCTCCCACAGAGGCAGAAACGACGGGTGCAGGGCAAGCAGCCCTAGGAGAGTTCCAGCTAACATGCCATGTGCATTAGTCTTCTTGGAGACTGTACTCTCTTCCAGGAAGGTACTGGAAGAATATTTTTCAGACAAATCCCTGAATCATGGCCATGAGTGATAGTGTTTTTGCCTTGGGCACGTCTCCTAATTTGGACGTCAGTTCTACCCATCTCTCGTTTCTAACGTTCACTGTGTGGGAAACCACCACCATCCTATTTCTCCATAATGGAATTTTTATCAAGCAAATGGGACGTACTTATTTTAAACCTCTGTGGAATTCACCTAGATTGTCTCACAAAGAAGTCATTGCTTCTTTTACCCTTGTTGGGGTCCTTCCAAGCAAATCTGACTTTCTGCAAACCAGCTAGCACTCGAAATCAAGGTAAATCCAAGCAAAGGACAATATTTCAACATTTTCAGGGAAAAATGAGAGACTGAGTGGGAGGAAGGACAGAAGGAACGGCCTTCTGAGCAACTTTTTTTTTTTTTTTAACACAAACTATGATGTACACTTGAAGAATCTGCCGTAAGATAAAGCCTTTTTGAAAATGTGGTAACATCAGACACAAAAGCACAAGATTTTTAAAAAGTGATTTCAGAAAGCAGATTGTATAAAAAATCGTGACGTGGTATAGTGGATCTTTACGGAACTCTAAACGTATACTACGTTATGCACCAGGCCCCAGGCCAGGGTGGGGTATGCCAGGCATGGGGGAAGCCAGCCACGTCACCCCGGTATGAAAAGAGTGTGTTGGCAGATGGATGGGTGGCATCTGAGAAGTGACAACTCACGTGCACAGCTGACCTCTCTGCTTTGCCATCTAGAGACTTTCTTAAGAGCGCCACGCGATGAGTTTACGTTCAGTTTACTGTTCGTCGCACTGTTCACGCGATGCGTTTTCTTTTCAGTCCTCAAAAGAAAGTGTCTTTTGGGGACTGTGTCTAATGTAGGTTTCCTTCCTATACTTGGCTCCAGTGTCGCAGGCAAATTGTCAGTCGTGCAAGAATCGGAGTACTCTGACACAAAACCATCCTGGATAATTCTGCTTATGCCCGCTAAACAACTTGCATCATTAAATAAACCATCCTCTGACTGTATTTATGAAATGTTACGTCTGCCTAGCAGTGAGCCTACATTATCTAAACAGTAAAGTGGAGGCCCATTCAATTTACCCTTGCCTGACAATATTTTTGTTTTTCATCTGGTTCTACTGACAATAATCATATGCATTCCACGGGGAAACCCATGTCACAGCAGCCATTCAGGTAATTGGAAGGGAGACAGCAGCATCTAATAAACAGACAGGTAGTCAAAGATAATTCTTGTATCGTGTGTACAAAAAAACAATCCAGAGAAGTTGAAAATGGTTTCAAATTCTGTTGTGGGTTCTCAAGTCCACTGGAGACTTGTTTTGGGGAAAGGCTGGGTTCACTGGAATAGCATGCTTCCCAATCCCGCATTGTACGTTTCAAGCTCTTGCCAAAAAGTAGCTCGACTTCACTTAAAGGCAAAAGCTATACAAAACGGCCATCAAAATAGCCACGATTCTTGTGATGAGCTCTATGTGAAAAATGCTCTTGGAAACCGCTTGGTGACTTCTGCTGGTATAGGGTGATGCACAGGTTTTTGGTGCCTACCACAAAATTAAAATAGAAAACACAGCCCTTCCCGCCAATATAAAACACAGCCCTTGCCGCTAAGGACATGCAGTCTAGTTGGGAACCAAGACTAAAACATGTGAGAGATCATCAAACATCAGAAAATGGCATAAAGTTAAGTCCTGGTTGTCTTCCCTGCCCGGATGCTCTCCATGGAGAAGGAACCCATCTGGTTCTTACGCTCGCTTTGACCCTTAGCACTACTTGGAAGAAACTATTCATCGCAAAGGTGCAGAGAATCCTACAATTATTTGCGTGTGGTTTGGAAAACAAGGTCTTTTTCTTCCTAGAATGGGTGTGACCAAGAGTCTTCAAACCTACTTCAAAGAAAACAGTTAAATGACACAACCATGAAGTCCTCTGGAGAAAAAAGGAAACTGTCCAACCTCAATTCGTGACACCCTGAGATCTATTTCATTCAGGGAGCCAGTAGATCTTATCTTTGATACAACATCAAAACAAATGTGTGCTGGGGTGTTTTTCCTTCTCGAAATCTCCTTGTTGCATGCAAGAATGAGCTGAGAAAGTAACGAGGTCACAGGTGGGTTGGGTGAGCAGCCCTTCGAAGGGACTTACGTAATACTCTGGGGTTCTGCCCATGCTGAGGATGGCATGGAAAGCGAGGAGAACACGGGGGGCAGCTGTGTGCAGGGGCCTTGGAAGGCCCCGCGGGGCAAGGCTGGCAGAAGCCTCCCACGTATGAAATTTCTCCCTTGTCTTTACTTGGTTGGAAGGTAAAAATATTCCCCTCTCGTTTCTTTTTTTTTTCTTTCAACTCAAGTGTTGTGGATGGAACAACAAAACTGACTTAAAAAACAGAAAAGGAAGCTCTTTCACAAGGCTGAGTTCCCTGGAAGAGCGTACGTCTAGACCTTGTATTTTATGCTCTAGCTCAAGCTCACATACAGCCATGCAAACTGTATGCTGTCAGATTTTGGTATTAAAGGATGCAGTTAGTCCGTGGTATCGCACACACTTATATACAGATTCTCTATGAAGTGAGACTCACCTGGATACAGAAAAGTAAAGTGGATCCCTAATCATAATCATCAGCCATCCAGTTAAAGATGGAACCTTGGAGCTACAGAAGAATAAATACTGAACGCTAGTTACACACGCACAAATGGAAACGTCTTCTAGTTTGTGGTCAGCCGCTTGCACGCTAGCTTGCAAATAGGTAGTGTTGTCTTGGTGAATAGTGAAGTGAAATTTATGCAAAACCAACAAACAGTTACTGGTGCTTGAACAGTACGGTTCAAGTACTGAGCTAGGCATGAACACAGAAAGATAAGAAAACAGCCTCTGCCTTCGAGGAGCTTAGTTTAGTGCACTGACACGTGTAAACATGTTAAATGCTGCCGTACAGGTGGGTGTCCTCAGGGCGCTATGCAGACAGTAACCCAATGGCAGCAGAGGAAGCTGTTGAAAGGGCAAGACAGGACAGCCTGATTAAAGGGAAGTGAAGTCATCTCCTTAGGATTGGGGTGTGGGAGCAGTTTAGGGAGAGGGCTGAGCAGGCTGGTGAAAACTGAGAATTGCTATCTAGGTAAGGGTGAGAGGCTGAGGGAGGACCAGTGATGCTGAGGGTCTGATCAAGCTGGAGCCCACTGTATTTCAGACCAGGTTTAGTGGGAGCTAGAGGGGCTGTAACGTTGGAATGAAAAGCTCCTGAGGTGCGGTGTTTTCTTGGTCAAGACAACACGGGGCAGAGCAACGGGAGGAAGTGGCCACAGAGGAGTGGATGGAGGGGCCACAGAAGTTGAGTCCAGGCACTGTAAGGGGGAGGGGTAACACATGCTGACATCTTCCAGAAAGAAGGCGCGAGCCAGGGGGGAAAGTACCACAGTCCTCAACGGATAGGACTGACAGGATATTTATTGAGGATGGTGATGAGGTGAGTTAGAGGATGGCTTCCTCATCCAAGGAGGAGTGGCTTCTGAATGCTCTGCAAGTCCCACACCTCCTTACCACTGGGTCTGCTTCCACTCATATGTGTGTGTGTGTGTATATATATATATATATATATATTTTTTTTTTTCCTAAGCTTACGTTTCATTTTTTTTTGAATTTTAAAAGAATTTTTTATTAGAGTATAGTTGCTTTACAATGCTGTGTTAGTGTCTGCTGTACAGAAAATTGTATTAGTTATACATATACATATATCTACTCTTTTTTAGATTCTCTTCCCATGAAGGTCATTACAGGGTATTGAGAAGAGTTCCCTGTGCTATAGAGTACGTCCTTACTAGTTATCTATTTTATATATAGTAGTGTGTATATGTCAGTCCCAGTCTCCCAATTTATGCCCCCTCCCACCCCGTAACCGTAAGTTTGTTTCTCTATGCTTCCATTCATATTTAAACAGTTGGGAGAAGTGAATTTTGAAGTCTTATTTGTAGATCCAAAGAAATAAATTTTAAAGAGCTAAATGAGGAGTTTTTTGTTCTTGATATAAGAGGCACCACATCCTAAACAAAAGACTACTGATACAATTTTAGACAAACAACATACCAGAAACTCCGGGTGGCGTCTTAATGAATTTTCCATTAAAATGACCAATAACGGCTTCGCACTTTTCTGTTGATTCCATCCTATTTATACATAAAAATAAAACACGTAAATAGTCAGAGATACCTTAGTTTGCATTTTGTCCTGTGCACATGAATACAATCCTATAGGTTTATTGGATACAAATGAAAACTAACAAAAATGTGAATGATAGGAAAAAGTGGGTTTATTCTATCTTTTATTTAACTGTTGTTTGTGTGCTTCCATAGTAAAATAAAAACTTGATAACCACACAGTACATTCAGAATCATAAAAGAAATAAATTATACAAAGAGTATTTAATACCAAGCATAGGAAATGTATAATTCTTTCCCACTTGTAGAAAAACTGATAATCAATACACAATAGCTTTGTTAGTCATGATAGTGAATTAAAAATAAAAATACCAGTTTAAAATACTAGTGTATTTAGTGCTGCTGGGATATTGGTCATTTTAAAGATGGTCTTTCCTTTTACATATTCAAAAAAATGACAGACTCAAAAGTCATGATAAGAACAGGTGTTAATCAGAGGATGTGTCTTACCAGTTTTTCTCATTAGCTTGAAGTTTAAAATTAAATTAGTGAAGTCAATTATGTACCTTCTTTGTCATCTTGGCTTTAGAGGAGGAATTAAAGGATGGAGCCTAACAACTTATTCCACATCTGCAGGTGGCTAAGAACGCCTGAGAAACCTTTCAGGGGAATTAAATCATTTTGATTTATTTTTCTTTAATGGAAAAAACACTGAATAATCTGCTCAAAATGCACTACACTCCTGGACTGCCCAGAAGAGTTGCACCTTGGTTTTAATGGGTGGTTTTTAATAGTTTTTAAAAGCAACAGAATTTAATTGGGTTCTATCTTTGGATACAGAAATGAAAGTCCTTGATCTGCTTTCAGAGGAACACCCACAGAGGGACGATTTTCAGATGGCGCTGGGCCTTTCACTGTTTCACCTGGGTCCTTTTAACCCATGAAGTGCACACTGGGGATGCTGGCCTTGGTGACTTTCCACCTGTAGAATACCTTCGTTTTATTATAAAATCGTCTGGCCTAACAGAAAGAGTAATGGACTGAAAGCCAGAAGAACCAGGTACTAGACCTTGCTTCACTGCTTGGCAGCCCTGTGACAATGGTAAAGTCCTTTCTTTAACTCAATTTTCCTATATGTGAAAGAGTGAAAAGTGCTGGCTTTGTTGATCTCACAGGCCTGAGGTAGATGCGATTGTCATCAAATAGGATAATGTATAGGAAAGTAAAACGTCAGCAATTGCCCCTCCAAAACCAAAGTCAATACTTTAAGACATGTAGACGTTATCGGTTACTGCACAGTATTAATAGGTTGCTAAATGATGTCAAATCAGTTTTTGTAGGCAGGCTTTCAGATTGCAACTACGTCAAAAACCAAAGCTGCTTTTGTTTAAGGTTTTTAAAGGGAGCAAACTAACCATTACACGAAAGTATCCTTTCTGGGGAGGAAGGGATAAAAATAAGATGGAAGGAATGAGGGTAGTTTAGATATCTGCAACATTTTACTTCTTAAAAAAAAAAATCTAGGCAAAAACTGTAAAATGTTACAATTTGTGTAACACTTGGGGGGGTTAGACAGGTGTCTGTTGTACTTTTCTGAGCGTTTGAAATATTTCACTTAAAAATCTAATTCACTGACCTTATTGATGATGAACCAAAGTTCCATCTAATGAGACAAAAATACCAATTTATTTACAAAATTTAGGAGCCTGAGATTGTTGTTTTTAAGAAGTTTAGGCATCTTGATCTAATTAGTCAAATTATTAAGGAAACATACTTGCAGAACTACTGCTCATGTGGTATTTCCTTCCCCTAGGTCACCAAATATTTAGTGTCCTCAGGTTCAAGAATCCTAATGAGCTTCCAAAAGATGTGGAAAAATGCAAACGATTTTTTATGCATAATTTAAGTTCATGGTACAACTGGCTCCTAGAACCCTGGCTTAAATTCTCTCTCCTTGCTCAATTTTTATTTTCCAGGAAATATAGCAGAGCTACTGTTGTTGACAAGAAGACAGGCAGCGTGCTTACCTAGCAAAGCCAACACCACGACTTGTCCCACTGGAATCGCGTAGTATCCTTGTAGAAATAACTTGTCCAAATGGTTTCAGCATATTTTCAAGTTCTTGCTCATCCATGGACAGTGGCAAATTAGAAATATACAAGTTGGTAGGATCTTGTTCCTGTTGCTAAAACCGAACAGAGAACTGTCTATTAATTTCCAGCAGAAGGTGAGATATGTGAACACACTTTTACTTGGCCACTCTCTTAGCTCAGTTCCTTTGAAAGTACTAGCAAGTGAGATCATGGGAACTACAGAACACCCGAGTCACCAAGAACACTTGAAAACAGTGTCTGAAGCTTGGACAATCTGTGCAGGTCAGACACGACCCCACCAAACCATTCTTGGCAGGTTTGGAAGCAGAAGCGCTGGCAGGAGTCGCTGAGTTGGAGAGGATGCCCTCATGGAAGCAAAACTCTCAGCTGTTTGCAGTGTTCTACAAAATAACCTCTCCTCCACTACTGTTTTTAGGAGCCCATTTTGGGCACACTATTGCACAAATGGCTGTTACTGCTAATAATTCAATCCAGAAACACACGACGGATTCTGGACTAAGTCAACTAAAGTCCAGTGGGATTTTGCCCAAATTCCCTTCTTTTGCTCTACAGCAGAGTCATTACTACCTCTGAGTTGTGATCACCAATGGGAAATAGAGGACTTCCTAAATTAACAAAAACAAAACCCTACAAAGTCATACAAAATGACAGACTCGAGGCAGTACAAGTTTTAGAATCTGGATAAAGCTCAACTCAAATGTAGATGGGGGAAGGGAGTTTTGCTAAATCTTCGCTACTCTAAGAGTGATCCAGGGGCCAGCAGGGATGGAATTACCTGCAAGCTTACCAGAAATGTAGAATTCCAGGCCCCAACCCAGACCTACAGAATCAGAAACTGCATTTTAATAAGATCTCCAGGCAGTACAAATGCATATGAAAGTTCGAAAAGCAGCAATTAGATCATTTCCCACCCACCTTTGCACTGCTGAGGTAAAATCAGCTGAAACCAAAGATAGCAACTGAGTTTTCTGAGAACCAGTAACAGCTATGTATATTTACTGAGTCTGGTGTTAAATCATCAGGAAATTAGCTTATATGCTATCTGGAATATTTTCTGACCAAGTAAAAACTCATCTCGGCAACTGTGAGATTAGGATGATCTTAACTTTAAAACAGGCTTTCCTTTGATCTTACTACCGCTTGTATCTTTACATATTGAACTATGCAAGTTTATGATTTTTCTTTAACAAGCACTATTAGCAAAGTCATTAACGGATGTCTTAGCCTTAGGCAACAGAACAGCACACTCATTATATTTAAATTTCCAAAATGCACAGTACTTTAAAAATATATGTGAAACATACACATATTCGTACAAAGTCTCTACTTTCAAATGTATCCTGGCATTAATTAAACCTGAAATAAAACCTTTCCTTTCAGATGATCTGCAAGTAAAAGTAACTGACCTTTAAGATTTAAAACAACAATCTGGTATCCTAGGGAATGGCAAATACCCTGGTAGTCCCAAGAATTAAAGTTACCAAAGACTGAGAAACTATGGGCAGAAAGTACTGTCCCTATGACTTCCTGGTTCTGACAGAAGGCAGCCTGTTACCAGGCCAGTCCCAAAGGTATGGAGCAGAAGCTCCCAACCTGGGTGGCCCAGACTCTCAGGGGTGTCAGTGCGGTTGTGTCCAGGAAAAAAATTAAAAAATTTCAAGTGCTCAGTAGCAAGCCAGAAACTTAACTTCATTAACCCTTGACAGACTAAACAAAAATGGCAACTACCTTTGCTTCTGTCTGAAAGTAGATAAAGTCAGTGTGGTACCACTGATTACCTTATGCCGGGCAAAACCTCCCACTGAAAATTACATAAAGCATATCTTTAATGTACAAAAATTGTAAAGCGATTTAATAAATGCATGACAGTAATAGATAAACTGCTTCAGAATAAAGGGAAGAACAAAATGGTCTTTGGTATTAAATTTTTCAATTTCTTCTCAGGTGGACTACAAGCTAAAATTTTAATTCCTTATTTCCACTTTATTCACTACCTTCCCTGACTTCACCCAATTAATCCACAGCTCCTCAATTAACTATCTCATGTTGGCTCTAACCTCCCAAGTCCCTGAATCTTTCCTGGAGTGCACAAGACTGTATTTGTTCCTGTGGAAGTCTGGTCCTTAGTTGGTGAACACAGATAGGGTTATTTCTCTCTGAAAGTGGGTACACTGAGGGGTCCTGTAGCCTAATACAGCCCAATGACATTTATAGTGCATCCTGTCCATCCCAGACCCTCTTATACAATAATTGTGACTCCAGGTCTGTCTTCTGGCCGTTTATAGTTGAGTTGGGGAGATAAAAACACATATAATGAATGCTGTAACAGAGATGTATACATATCACAATGGGAGGACAGATAGGGGAGCTTGTCTTTATTAGGGAACACTTTACAGAGGGCATGACATTGAGCTGAGACTTGAGAAACAAGCATAAGGCATGAGGCTGAAAACCAGATTGTGAAAAGCTATCCAAGGAGTATGACTTTTTTGGTCAGTTATCACTGCTTAAACTTTTCCACTTAAGCAATGCTAGCACGAAAGAGAATGACTATGTATCCTGAAGAGTGTGTGGGCAAAGGATAAAGTAGCCTTGCCAGAGCTGCAACGTTTCCTTGAAGGCTTGTATTTTATCTAAAAAAAAAAAAAAAAAATCACATAGATGTTGCAATCTACTCCCTAACTATTTGAGTTTGTTTCATGTGGAAACAGTATTTCTGAATTAATACTTTCGAGTCATACTGACACTGCAGGAAGATAAGCCATGTTTATCCTGTGATTTCAGGCGTTATACTTTGTTGGGTGAAGGGAGGAGGAGGAAGGGGGAGCCTTGTCCCTGTGCTGCAGCTAGAAAGCCACGCCCTAAAAAATCTGCAGCCTCTGGAGGCACAGAAGCAAGGGAGTGATGTGATCAAGTCTATCTTATTAGAAAGATTTCTGAATCACGCTTAGTCAGATTCAGGGAACTCCCTAATTAAAGAGCATTAAAACACACCTCGGACAAAGATGTGGCATAAAAAATGTTACATAAGAAACATGTATCATAAATATTGTGAGCTTTCTTTTTTTAAAAATAAATTTATTTATTTTATTTTTGGCTGCGTTGAGTCTTTGTTGCTGCACATGGGCTTTCTCTAGTTGCAGAGAGCGTGGGCTCTTTGTTGCAGTGCGCAGGCTTCTCATTACGGTGGCCTCTCCTGTTGCGGAGCACGGGCTCTAGGCTCATGGGCTTCAGTAGTTGTGGTGCACGGGCTTAGTTGCTCCGCAGCATGTGGGTTCTTCCCAGACCAGGGCTCGAATCCGTGTCCCCTGCATTGGCAGGCGGATTCTCAATCACTGTGCCACCAGGGAAGCCCGTGAGCTTTCCTTTTGAGTTACAATTATTAAAATCTAAATGACTAACATTTAAGAATATTTAAGAATGTTCATAGACTTTGTCATCTGTGAAGTATTTTCAAAAGGGCTGACAATGTAGGTAACTAAGTACTTTCTAAATCTGTGGTTTAGTTGCTATTAAACTATTAATAAAAATGTTATTCTTGGGTCTTCCCTGGTGGCACAGTGGTTAATAATCTGCCTGCCAATGCAGAGGACACGGGTTCAAGCCCTGGTCCGGGAAGATCCCACATGCTGCGGAGCAACTAAGTCCGTGTGCCACAACTACTGAGCCTGCGCTCTAGAGCCCGTGTGCCACAACTACTGAAGCCCCTGTGCCTAGACGATGCGCTCCACAACAAGAGAAGCCACCGCAATGAGGAGCCCGCGCACCGCAGCGAAGAGTAGCCCCCGCTCGCCACAACTAGAGAAAGCCTGCATGAAGACCCAATGCAGCAAAAAAAAAAAAAAAGTTATTCTTTAAAATGTTAATTCAACTTGAATGTTTACCAATGAAGCAAAAAAATAATAAAAAGTGCTAAATCAGAATCAGGAATTTGAGCTCCTAACCCACTCTATGATGAATAGTGAGATAAGATAGACTAAATACAGGTAGATATTTCCTGTGATTTTAACGCATTTTTTTTCAATAGCAAACAGTCAACTAGCTCTCTTCATTTGGAATGACCTCTAGGGCTAAACAGTATTTATCCTTCTTTTCAAATGGTCAACTTATCCTGCACACATTGCATACAAAGTTGCAAGTAAAAAAAAAACAAAACAAAACAAAAAAGAGAAGCAACTCCAAGCTGGCAGCAATGGCCACAAGAATATCTGATCACCAAAGGGTCCATGCATTCTAATCACCATACATTCCTAGTAAACGGAACATACAGTACTTGTACTACGTGAGAGTGGTTCTTGAATAAGGGTAATTTCGCCCCTTTAAAATCAGGGACAACCGTAACTCTGTTTTATTACATACAATGCTATGTCAAAAAACAATTTTTCTGTAAATTATGGGTGGTCAGACATAAAAATGGGGCTAACAGCCCTCTTTATATCCCTAGGCATGGAAAGGGTTCAATGGCTTCTTTAACAGGTAGAACACTTGGATCCCACATTGGCCATGAGAGGGATAAATGGCCGCTAATGTTCGCTTGAGTAGAAAAGTGGGGCTTGGAGGTCCCTCATGGTGTAAAGCACTCAGTCATCATCTGAAAGAAATTAACAAAAACCTCCCTATGCGTGTGGAATGGTTCCTGAAATTCAAGAAAGGGACCTGGCAGGAAGACCAGATATCTGTTTTCTCTTGTACTGAGTAGGTTCACCAACCAGCAGATAGCTGCTTATGGGCATGTGAATGCAAACTGCTTGAAGCATGGTAGACCTCTGTGTGGAAGGGCGATTAAATTCCTGCTCCTTTGACTGCCTATTTACTGAAAAAAATGCGAGCATACAGCTAGGCAAATAACACAGGGCGATCCGCCGACCCCCAGCAGGTCTTAAGAGGTATTGCGGAAAGGCCTACAGAAGTCACTCTATTAACAGATATCACCAATGTTGACTCGAGTTTTGTATCTTTTCAGCTCGTTATCTGAGGTTTTTTTCTTCTTTTCATAGATTGAGTCTTTTATTTTGAAAAATGCACACATTTGAAACAAATGCCAAGTTTAACATACATGGCTCAAGTTTAACCTTGAGCCTTTTGGAAAACCTTTGGTAAATTTCATCAGGGCACTCGATAGACTCAATAAATATAATTTTTAAATGTCCCATTGCTATCTCTCCATATCTGCCCAAACTGGGAAGTTTTTCTCTTGCTTAATTGGCTTCTTTGATCATCACTAAAACAAACATTTGGTATCTACCATAGGCCAAGTACCAAGCAAGGCACTGAAATTAAAACACGAATAAGAAACAACCATTGTTGTCCAACGCTCTCCAATTGTAGCTTTATAATTCAGTTTTGAATATCTGTGGAGTTCTTTTTCAACTCCGGTAGTCAAAGTGTCAAACAATATTATATTCTCCCCCACTCCCCAGACTCGCCTAGTGGAATGGCCCTTAATTTTTTCTGATTATGTAAGAAAGCAAGCCTTTAATATGTGGCAATGTGAATTTTCAAAACTTTATAGTGTCCAGATTAATTCACTAGAGGAAAGTGGACAGTGACAGGTCCCTTATCACCCAAACATGGGAGCCAGACCTAAACTTTTATAAACTGTCTCCACAAAAGGTACATGCCAGATGCTCCTTTATCCAGTCAGCATAAAGGGGGTAAGTCAACTCCTGATACTCAAACCCATGGTTCCGTGGCACAGAACAATGGACCCTCTAGCATTTAAAATACCTTTTGTAACGTTAATGATATAATAAAAAAGAAATCAGGTCCAGGAAACTCAGTCATCCTACAGAGACCCAAAGAAATTCACAACGTGCAGAATGTTGGCACACTGCCAGCATCTCTGAACCCGTGCATTGTTCCCTCCCTACAGATGATGTAGGAAGGGATCACTTTTCCTAGCCAATTTACAGTCCAAGCCACCTAAGGAGGTCTTTGAACAGTGCTCATTATCAGTCCACGGGAAAGCTGGCATTCAAAGTGCACTGTTGACACAACGTACAGTGCCAATCTATGCCCAGTCCGGTTCTGACTAAATGCATTGTAAAGACTTCTTCAAACAGGATATATTTAATATATTATGCTACTCAATATCACCGGCACTGAAAAGATGCCTAGGTAAGTGCTCACGGGGCCGCTCTAAAAAAGGCCTCTGTAGTACCTGGAGCAGGTAGTTAAAATAGCCCTCTTTCTAACTTTGTTTCAGCAGAAGTCACCAAAAAATGGGTTTCAGGCATGCCCACGTGCCAGAGTGAGAAACCAGACCACCTACACAAAGTCTGCATAGGAGTGGCTGAGATCTGGCTTGAGAGGCTCAGCTGACCACCCACCTCTCGTCTGCCTGGGAGGGACTGGAGAGGGTGGAATGAACACGCATGTGGAGAGAACCGCTGATGCGTTCTGAGTCCCACCACAGGGGCTGCTTCCCCCATCACTGCCAGTCCAGCAAGAGGGGCTTCAACAGACCCCTCAGGAGGCATGGTCTGTGACCTCTGGAGCTTGGTGGATACAATGAATCAATGTCTGACTTACGCCTGAGGAATCTAAAAGGCAAAGGCTGGTTGAAGGGGCCTATAAGTGCAATTGGGAGGTAACTAGTCTCCCACAGACAGCTGGCAAACACATCAATGTGGGCCACACAGGTAGAGTTGGCCCAGGGTTGTGTTAGAGCCTTCCAGGAAAGCTGTCTTGAAGGATTAGAAGGCCCTAGAAGAAAGGGGCTGAAGGCAGACCCTTAGATTCTCAGGAGCTGAGGCTAACAGCCTGAGGACACGTCTTCTCTAGCTTGAAGGAACTACAGGGGAGAGAGCAAAGCATTCTACTAAGGAAAGCATCAGTTCTCTGTCTGCCCAGAGAAATCAACACCATATCACATAATTGTCAGGTCAAGAAACTTTCCCATCCTTTGCCACTGCTCCAACCTTGGAGGGGTTAGAAACCACAGCTAGCTATGGAAGAGTGGGAAAGACACACATTTGGGAAATAGGAAAGAAACTAACCATGCTCCCATCCCAGGACAAGCTTACTACTTAGAGCAGACCAGAGCTGGGGGAAGGGAGAAGTTTTAATATACGGCACTCAAAATTTTGTCAAATAAACAGGATTGGACATTTCAATTATAGGTATCACACACTTAGCATTGGAAATGTGTTCTTAAAAAAAAAAAATCAGACATTCAGCATCAAAATGTTAACCAGGAGCCTATTTCATATTATTTCAAGTAAGAAGTATAATGTATTACCATTAATCACAACCCCCAATTTCCTAAAATGCAACTAAATACATTTGTTACACATCTGCACGTGTGTCTGTATACACGTAATACATGGTTATATTGGGATGTAAACTTTTAAAATATCACTTTGTTTTTGTTTTTTGCAGTACACAGGCCTCTCACTGCTGTGGCCTCTCCCTCTCACGGGCCTAGCTGCTCCGCGGCATGTGGGATCCCCCCGGACTGGGGCACGAACCCATGTCCCCTGTATCGGCAGGCGGACTCTCAACGACTGCGCCACCAGGGAAGCCCTAAAATATCACTTCTTGATCACCAAATTATCAATATGGTTGTTAGCAGACAACTGCTTTGTAAGTTGTCATTTCTCTTAGCACCAGCGGCACCCAAGACACACATCCCTTTTTGCTGACTCTCAGCAGAGTTTTCGAAACCTCTACACAATTCTGACATTTACAAACTGTATTTGGAATATAACCTGAGATTTCCCCCTTAAACATCTTGTTTAAAATATTGTACTGAGATTGGTGTAAATACATATAGAAAGGCTGAAAATGTACTGAAAGACAATTATGTTCCCTGAAATTTGGATATGAAAACAATTAAGGGGCATTCTACTGAAAAAAATTAACCAGAAAGACCTGAAATGAAAGAAGCAACTCAAGGAACTTTTCAAAATTACGAGAGTAGCCAGAAAAGTCATGGGACCTGCCCTAGATTTTATCCATGAGAAGAAGAAACAGGAGCTTCACAGAGTAGAGGAAATGGACAGAACAGAGGGAAAAATAGAGCCCTTTTCCAATTGTGCCTTAAAAGTCCTGCTTAGAAAATGTATGGTTACCCATTGTTTACATAGGCGTATTAAACATTCTGTAAATCATATACAACTTAGGTATTGCATACTCACAATTAAATATATTTCAAGCCTCATAATCACTGTCTTTCAACAATACCACAGGAAACTGCTGTATATTATGGACAAGTAATCTAAAAATCACGGCTTAGTATTTACAGTTTGTTTATTTTAGCTTCTTCCTCTGGAGTTTAAAAACATCTGAAATAAGTCCAACTCAATCCAAAGGTCTAAAAATATTAAAAGTCAAGGATTACTTTAGAAAGGTGATCCCTTTCATCAATTCCTGAAATCTTTATTCACGCTGATTTTTTTTTTTTTTTTTTTTTTGCGGTACGCGGGCCTCTCACTGTTGTGGCCTCTTCCGTTGCGGAGCACAGGCTCCGGACGCGCAGGCTCAGCGGCCACGGCTCACGGGCCTAGCCGTGCTGCGGCACGTGGGATCTTCCCGGACCGGGGCACAAACCCTTGTCCCCTGTGTCGGCAGGTGGACTCTCAACCACTGCACCACCAGGGAAGCCCCATGCTGATCTTTTAATCAAGGTAAATCTCTATCCTGGTAGCTGCATATATGTCCTTCAACAGCTTTAAGGTCTTAGCAGGTAACTTATCTCAACCAGGGTTCTTTAACTTCCATAAATCTTCTTTCCTTATGGAAATGTGAATACCCTTCAGGGAATGACCACATGCTACTCTTCAGAAGCAGCAGAGGACAGCACAAAATTACTTTCCTCTGTACCTAAAGACACTAGATAATATAAAATTATCGATCTTTTGAAAAGAATATACAAGATATCAAACTGTCAAGTTTCAAACTTGAAAATATGTTCTGTAGCAATTCAAAAACCACAAATAAAAAAATATGTACATAATTGTATGAGTATCTTAATAAATGCACTTTAGGCACTAGGTATGCACTTGGCACTAGGTATGCCAAGTTTACATTTAGGCAATAAGACTGGAGCATAAATACCACTTCAGTGATTAAGAGTTCATCAAAACAAGTCCTGAATAAAGCTACTGCAGAACCACTAAAGAGAAGATTTATAATCCATAAATAACCAATGTCTAAAAATCACTGACTTTTACACAGAGGAAATAGTATCTGTAGCTTACATTGCATTAAAACTACTAGTATATTTGTACAACGCATACATATGTGATTGTATTTTGTTATTCTTTCATAATATGACATTCTATACACAATTACCTTCGGAAGTGTTTCTAAAATGTATTAATTCCTTAAGCATTGACATTTTAAAATTATTTTAAAAAATACAGTACAGAGCTTCAGCCCACAAGTACCCACTTACCTGAGAAAATCTGGTGCTATTTCTCCATTTACTTAGGGGGTTACATAATCTGCTATGTAAAATTTTATACAGTTATAAAACCCTTCTTCACATATAAATTTATGAGGAACAGTCTTTGGCACAATAGCTACCATTGAGGATGCGAAGGCACGGGACAAGTGTCCACAGGTAACTGTGGCTCACTGGGATGGAAGGAAGAACTTGGATGGTGACAGGAAAAGCCACGTATCTAGCTTCAGAACCAAAGCCAGAGACCAGAGCAGTGAGTACTGGCTCTCAACTCACCTTTGCCATTTGAGCTTGAACCCCACTTGCCTTCAGGGCAGACACAGCCTTCTGAGCTGCTGCAGGACTGTCAAAGTCGACAAAACCATAACCTGAAATGCAAAACACACTTAGTGTTTAAGCCATTATTTTATGATTACATAGAGGAAAAGGATGACTCCATTTGCTCTCTGATGCAGGCAACAGAAATGAAAGCCCTGACGTTCTGACATGTCTCAAGCTTTACAGCCGCAATGCAACATCCTCCTCGAGCTGTCCTTCCCCATCTATCATGGGCTAGGCAACTTTCCCTTCAAAGTTTAAAAAAAAAAGGAAGAAACAAGCAAACAGTTTTTTTCCTTTTCCAGATCTTTTTCTCAGGTGTCCTGTACTTACTGGCAGAAAAAAAAAAGACATCTGAGTTATACCAAGATTTAAAAAAAAAAAGGAAAAAAAAATCAACTTCAGAGAAGTAGCATTTTTAATAATTTGGTAAGAAAGATGGTGCTATCCTACAGAGCTTACAAGTGTATGTTTATTCTGCAGACTACATTTTATTTTTCAAATAAGTTAAGTACAACCACTGGATACCCCCAATATAAAATAATCTAAATGTTAGAACTTGGTTAAAAATATCATTATTTATCTAAAATAGAGCTCATGATCTCTTCAAAATAAATAAAGGGGGGGGGGATGGCTCCAGAAACCCAAAATAGCTGTTTTAGCAGTTCCTGTCCTAAAGTCTAAAAACAAAACATAATAAAACAAATAAATAAATAACCTCCTAAGAGAGGTCCTGGTTCAAAGCTTATTTATCCACAGCTTTTCAAACATTTTAAATAAGCTGGTCAGCTATTCTGCCTGGCCACGACAAATCAAAAGCAAGAAATAATGGGGAAAAAGGGTCGGGTTGAGGGTAGGGCTGCTACAAAATGATCACATGGATGGTATCCATATGCTAATTGTTAGTGAAAATGAATAGCAATCAAGAGAAGAGGAAAACTATACAAAGAACAGGCCTTCAAGCAGCATATGAGCAAACAGCTCCATGAACTTCACTGATCCATAAGCATCACTGCATTACATCAGGCAGTCACTGATTTGTCACTATAACTCTTAAGTTATGAGAAAAGGGTCAATTCTATTTAGCGCACTGTTTAAAAGATCAGGGTACCAGGCAAAAATACCAACAGAGATTTCCTTGGAATTCAAACCTATTATCAAATTAATTTTATTTTCTTAATTTATTTATTTATTTTTTGCGGTACGCGGGCCTCTCACTGTTGTGGCCTCTCCCGTTGCGGAGCACAGGCTCCGGACGTGCAGGCTCAGCGGCCATGGCTCACGGGCCCAGCCGCTCCGCGGCATGTGGGATCTTCCCGGACCGGGGCACGAACCCTTGTCCCCTGCATCGGCAGGTGGACTCTCAACCACTGCGCCACCAGGGAAGCCCATCAAATTAATTTTAAATGAGGAAGAATATTTTGAAAAAGAAAAGCCCTGTTCGGAGGTTGCAGAGAAGAGGGGCCAGCCCTATCATTCAGTTGCAGATATTATAAAGCTACAGTCGTTTACACAGGAAGAAACTAAGTCAAAATAGGCAAATATATGCATCAACAAGACCAAACAGAAACTTCAGAAGTAGTCCAAAGGTGAGTGTGCAGTATTAATACCAAAAATATTGCCTGGTAACAAAACTAGTGAACTAGACTATGGATTACAGAAATAGATGTTTTAGGAGACAGAAGTGTCAAAGCTGAAACAAGCAGCAGCTTCCTTCGAGTACTTGGAATTGGGTTGGAATAAGGCCTAATCTGATTTTGACAGTGAATGGAGAAATAGCCAGGTTGGAAAGAAAAAGAAGAGGCTGACCCAAGTAAAAGCAGAGAACGCTACTCAACAGCCAGGTTAGAAGTCAGGTTAAACGTATTTTGGAATTTTTTTAGAAATCTGTCGTTAATGCTAACATGCAACCCGTTATGAAGGTACACACAGGCACACACATACTCACTCTCTCACTCTCATACATATTTTACTACCAAATACGATTTAAGCAGGTCATAAATGAACACCCAACTACACTGAAATGATGTAACTTCTACTGATGGATATTTAAGACACCCTCCTTAATCTTGCTGTTGTCAATAAATTACAATAAACAGAAGATCTCAGGTTTGATATTCATGTAGTTGAAATTGATATTCATTCAGGTAATATTAGTATTATTTTATCTGTTATTTCCTTATTAGGAAAAATCCATAATGGTTGCATTTTTAGTTAACTGTTTATAACCTTTTCTGGCCTTGCCCAATGTCTACTACATAGCTGTTTCATTAAATATTTGCTGAAAAACAAATATAACAGGTAAGCATGCAACCCTGGGCTCTTTCATTTCCTCTATTATATTACTTTCAAGTAAGTATAAGAGTATATAAATGAGTTTCACAGGTTCCATGGGTTTCATTATATAAATATGTACACAGATATTTCTGAAGGTGGGATAAACTAAGTAACACAGCATCCTCTCACTGGACCCCCAAGAGGATTCTTCTCAGGTCTCAGGACCAGGAACAGTTATGGTATTCCTGCTTCTTGGATTTTATTCTACATTGTGATTACTGAATCATGGGAATAGGTATGTTTATTTTTGCTTTGGCAACTAAGAAATACAGGGCTATTTCTATAGTAAAATGGAGTTTCCTGCTCTTACCCCTATTTTCCCTTTGGTCTGACTTATCCTCACCCATTTTATGTCTGTGTGTGTGTGTGTGTGTGTGTTTTCTGGTCTTATATGCAACTCTGTAAACATTGATAATTAACCAGTCGGGTGTCACAATCAATCCGCTGTAAGCTTTTTTTTTTTTTTTTTTGGTCCTGAACTACCATATATTCCAGTGCTGAAAAGCATTTAAATACCTTTTCTTGGCCAAAAACTGACAAAAATTGAAAGGTAGAAGAGCAACTGAATAGTGAATTTTTAAATTTAATAACTACGATAACATGTTATTCAGAGCAATATTTCCTTCAGCTTAATTCTGTCTTCTGGAGAGAGGCTTCAAAATATGTTTTGTGGGGCTTCCCTGGTGGCGCAGTGGTTGAGAGTCCGCCTGCCGATGCAGGGGACACGGGTTCGTGCCCCGGTCTGGGAAGATCCCACACACCGCGGTGCGGCTGGGCCCGTGAGCCATGGCCGCTGAGCCTGCGCATCCGGAGCCTGTGCTCCACAACGGGAGAGGCCACAACACTGAGAGGCCTGCGTACCGCAAAAAAAAAAAAAAAGTTTTGTGCCAAAAAATGTTCTATGACCTATAAGGTCTCTAATTTCCAGGTATAAAATTCTTTGATCTGTTCAACTCTCAAAAAACTGTATACAACACAAGCACTTTGCATTTATACTAATAACCTCTTAAGCATTACCTATATTCATCCATCCATCCACCTACCCACCTTCTCAAGTTATCTGTAACATGGCTAACATGTTATCTGTCTTTATTATGAGCTATGCTGTGTTATTTTTTCTCATTTGTCCTAAAATTACTATTTTTCAGGAGCTCTTTCATTCTCCCTCCCAGAATTTTATAAACCCATTCTTGCTTACTCTCTCCCCCTCACTCACTCACCCACACCCCAGATATCTGTTGCTATTTCTTCCTGAGAGGCCTGTGTGACACAAAGAGACTCAGAAGGTTTCTCTCATCGCCACCCCGCCACCCCCGACATAAGGCAGTCTCTCCTGAGACTCAATTTAGGAGAACATCTACAGGAGACATGTGTTGAAAACCAGTGCTGAATTATTCTTATCCTTATCTAGAAGCCCCCAAAATCTCTCCACTTATCTTCGGACCCTTCCCAAATATCATGGGTTTGTATTATGATGTTCAGTTTAGCTTTAGTATTTCTTTACTTGTACCTTTTCCAGATCATGCTAAGCATTTTGTGGAGTTTTGGCTTCCAGGCAATAGGGTCTTGCTGGAAAAGAGTGTATAACAGTAGCGTGTCCAGTGTAGAGGTGTGGCAGAGAATTCACCCAGGGAGGCCTCTGGGTCCTCTCTCTCACGTAACTAGGGCAGCTGTGCTTTTTTTAACACACTGATCTGCTGCGAAGACTTCTTTTTGGGGGTAAGGGGGTTGGGGAGGTGAGGAGGAAGAAAGGAAGGGTAAGGTTATAAAACGACTTGTCTACTGTGATTTCTCTCTTGGTTTGAAACAAATGCTGAGATCAGCTTCCTGTTTTATACCTGCAAGAGTCCGTTTTTTTTTTTGTTATAAAACCGAAAGGTTTTTTTCTGTGTCCCTGCTCACCCAAATCATTTTAAAATATGGTAAACAAGACTAATCTGGTAACTGGGTAGACATTTCAGTCTACAATTTGACTCTCTCCAGTTTAATTCACTGAAAATATTAATTGAGTACCACTCTACGTAAAGCATTGCTCTATTCACCGTCCTAAGGCGAAACTGCCTGAATGTGCCATGTTGACTAAACATGGGCTTAGATATTTGCCACAATAGCTCCTTTAAATTCAGGAGCTTTGAAGAAGAGACAGAAATACAATGAATCACTTCAAGTCCAGATTAAAGGAAACGGCTGGCTTCTATGGTGAGGCCCTACCATACCATCCAGAGGCTTCATTTATGTTCTCTGCCTTTTTCAGATTGTGCTAAGCCACAGCCATCACCACTACTTGAAAAACTGGGGTCTAATTAATGAGGAGATTTGCCTTCTCTGCCTATTCCTGTCAACCTTATTTCAATTCACAGGGTCAGTCGTTAGACTCAAAGTCAGCTGACTCCATTCTTCCCCTTTCCTAGAAATCACATGCCTATTGTTAAGATGCTGGATCATTAAAAGTCAGAACCACAGAGCATCAGTGCTGCCTACTCCAGACGCCTCCTCTTCCAGCTCATGGAGCCGCATGAGCTCATCCTAATTACACGGAAAACTGAAGGTCAGTGCATCAAATTAATGCAGCAGCATATTTCAAAGGGGCATATGACCTCCCCTCCCTATTACAATTCGGTCAGTGAAAATGGTTCTCTCCTCCCCGCTGCCAATATTGTCAACAGGCATTCAGCAGAGAACAATTGGGAGTATTGAAACATGTAATTAAGTACTGCTTAAAACTACTCTAATTAATAGAGCCAATTTGCACAATATGTAATCTTTTCAGTTCTTTAGTGCAGTCCAATGGTCTTCAGTAAGCAGCTCTAATCTCCTCAGGCTCAGCAAAGAAAAGCTATTTTCTAACTCTACTCCCCTTTTAAGAGCAGGGGATAAATGCCAGCCGGTATTTTGCATGTTAACTCTACTGGCATCAAATCTGGGATTCTGGCAAAGGGCTAGCTGCTGTTGGGTTTCCAGCCAAAACTCAACCAGGGACAAACGCAAGCAATATGCTGACATTGTGCAAGACAGAAACTGGGTGACATGTAAGATTTGGATTTTAATAAATGGAGGTAGTTTTGAAACCAAAGATCAAGTTTAAAATTCCATTATTTTTCTAAAGCCCTGATTTAGCAAATCAACAGCCAACGAAACATACCTTTGCATTTGTTCGTTGTCTTATCCAAAATTGCCTTCGTGGAAACAATTTTCCCATATCTAAGAAAAAAAAGGGAAAAAAAGAAGTTATAATTGAGGAACCTTTATTAATGTCTAAGTCCAGAGAACACACACACTTATCAAACAACTGCAAACTTTCAAGTACAAAATGTTCTTTACTAGGGGACGGGAAATGAGAATTCGAAACACAAACTAAACTAAAAAGGGGGAACAGCTAGGCCTCTCATTTGAATCTCTGGATTACAGTTTGATGTTTAGCTTTGAGGAATCAGGTACTTACCTGATGATCTTGGGACCAAAAAAATGGAATGTGAGCTCTATAAAAATAGTTTCGTCTAGTAACACCATGTCTGTGGTCAAATACAAACCCAAAGGCAAGGCTACAGAAGTGTTAATGGAAAGTACTAAGATCAACATAGCCTTTATGAACTAATCATGGTGGGAAAGCTGCCTGGATCTTATCTATTCATTTTGCTTTTGCAGGCAGCTCTGCATGGCTCTACATCACCACAGAAAGGTGCGTATGTGTATATATCTTTAACACACTTGATGTGTTATTTAAAACAGGTCTTTTTTACCTAAGATTTTGACAACTTTATAAATACCTTTATTAAGACCTCTTTTAATGCTGTAATAATAGTTATACGGTGTACTCACTAATGTGTGTGTGGGCACGTGTGTGCAAGAAACAGGCAATGCAAAAATATAAACCAATGAATCAGGAATTAAGCATTACTTTTATGAGGGTTTGTATGAAAAATGTGTTCAAATTCCTTAATGTACAACAGAAGTTGGAAGAAGAAGGAAAAAAATTCAGAATATTAAAATTGAGGGCACTGCTATCAGAAACAAAGGGGCAGCAGAGTTTAAATATATGTACTACCTACACCCTTTCACAGTGACCAGACCACAATGCAAAGCACCGCTATGTTTGTCTTCTAAAAACGGAGAAGAAAAACCTTTGAAAAATAACTCTTAAAAATTACTAGGTTTTTGGGGAATGCACATAACATACTTGAGGTATCTGAGACATTTCCCCATTTAGATGTGGCAAATTCCAAAAGTTTACTTTCCTAGGTATTTACTTTAAAAATTTCACATTTTCTCTAATACTACTTTCTCGTGATTTCTGCTGAGGACTAAAAAGACTCTTAAAAGTTTTAGAAAATGGAAGTATCTGTGCAGCACTTTAAACCATTCTAAATGTTGCAGGTTTCTATTTTATGTATTGAACAAGCTGAAAGATACTTATCTAGAGGAAACAAATGGCTTGGGCCACCTCTCTCCCTCAGTTAATCTTCACTCTGTGTAATCATGTATTCAAATGATTACTAACTGGGCACATGAAAGTAAAGATAATTTAAGGTTCAAATGACAATTACATCCAAGAGGCATAAGGCTACACAAACACCTTCAATTCCCTGTAGAGATTCTGAGTATTTATAACAACCTTAACACAGGTCACTAAGCTTACAAAAAAAAATTTTTTTTAAACTCTGCAAAACAGAAACAATAAGTGATTTAAAGACCACCTTATAGCAACCATTTATCTACCTAGGTTATGGACAGCTTGATATGTACCAGCACTCTCTCCTTTGCACAAGTTCTAGCTGAAAACGCTTTTAGACTGCATCCCTATCACAGCCCTTTGCAAAAGTAGGGAAGAAAACTGGTATGACTCCAATGTAGGATAAGGGGATTGGGAGTCATAGAGATTAAGAGACTTTGCTTGCGGTCACAGAGTTCAGGGTCTTTTGTAAACCAAACAGAAGAAAGCAAATTTAGAGAAGGTCAGGGGCTGGCCTTCTACCCTTCTGGTTCTGCTCTCCACATTAATAATGGGGAAGAAGACATGGAGAGAGGAAGATGTGGGAAGCAGGAAAAGTGAAGAGGCTCCTGAGAGCACTAGACTCAATCCACGCCACACTCCACTCTGGTTTGGGTTCTCTTTGATCTTTGCTACATCTGACATTTCTCCTTATTTCCACACCTATGCTTCTAGGACCTTCACTCTCAGGACCTCATCCTACCTTTCTGGGCACTCTTTCAGTGGTTTTTTTTTTGGCCCATTCAGCTTCCTCCTCTCTCTCCTTAACCAAGTACTTTCATCACATTTGATAATCAGCCCCTTAACCCTTCCTTTTCCTAGGAAATGTATCCAGTGCCACAGATTTAACTTATACATCTTCTTTGATGAAGCCCATTTCTCCTTCCTGTTTTTTTTTAATCTAACCAAAGCTTTAGTTTTTGTCTTCTTTTTACTTAACTTAGTATCTTACTAAGATACTTAAATATCTAGTTAGATGTTACCTCATGTCCACTATTTTCTAAATCCCACCCCCAAAGAACCTCAAACGCATTTTCCTTGTCTCCTCTTCATATCTCATTTCATTCAATAGCATCATCACATTCCCAATCTTCCACCAAGCTTGTGGTCCTTGAGACATCTTCAACTCAGCCATTCCTGAATCCAGTCAGTCAATCACTCTTCTGAGTTTTGCCTCGGACATGTGTGTGATATTCACTCCTTCCCTTCACTGTGCCTACACCTATACAAAAGGCATATCATAGTTCTTGCCTCTAGCCTCTGGTCCTTCCAACCCAGTCTGCTGCATTACTTGGAACATGGTTCTCTTATCTCTCCATTGCCCCCTTCTATCCATGCTTGAACTTAAAGAACCTGTTGCAACACTAACTTTTCCACGAAACTCTCCCTAATCGCCTCAACCATTTAGTGGGCGATTTTATAAGAAACCAGAAAAGGAATAACATTTACTCAGTTCCTAAATTTCTAGGCACTTTGTATGTATGGTCTTATTTAACTTCACAACAGTCTTATGAGGTAGCTGTTATTATTCCCATTTTTGCTAATGGGAAAACAAAAGCTCATAGAAATTTTGAGACTAAGATCTCGCCTAAAACCTCAAAGCTCAAAAACAGTTAAATTTAAGTGTTCACTGCAATTTATCTATGACATAATTTTGAGAAACAATGTTTCCTTTACATACTCAGAGTATGAAAGGTGAGGAAAAAAGTGGAAGATCTATTAAGGGATTGGAAGAGATTTATTTTTCAAACCAAAGCAAGTTTTTTGTTTGTTTGTTTTAGACACAAGAAATAAGTATGTGGTTCATGGTTGAAGGAGGGATGCGGGGTGTGTGCAGGAGAAGAAATATGTCTGAAATTTATCGGTTTTACTTTCTATTGTGGTTTTCATCATGATTTGTGGGTTAACACTGAAAGCCCATGACTTCCCAGAAAGTCAAAACAGTTTTCACTCTGTGGTACTACTGCATACTAGCCTCCATGCAATCAGAGGGTCAGTGAGACGCTTCTCTGGAGTTACCCGGGGTGGTGGTGGGGCAGGGTTTTGAAGCCTTTTCCTCTCCTACAATATCTTTTTCTGTGAGCTGTTCACTCAGTTAGCTTCTCAGGGGCTGATGCAGTCACCATGTTGTGGGAATGGAGTACAGAACAAGTTCTTCTGATGACATGAGAAAGGATCTACAATATGGGGACGAGCCGTCTGGCAAATGGCACCTCAAGGAACAGGAAAGGGGGCAGCAGGCTTCAGAGCAATTCCCCTCTGCTAGTCTTATCTGTAGTAAGATTTAATAATGTGAGGCAAGGGATGGGATGGAGCGGGGGGAGAAGTCATTACAGATGATTAACATTTAGTCTAATTCTATTGTTGATCAGCAGTGCCTGCAAGAGTAACAGATATCTGGATAGAAATTCATAAAGCAACTAGATTTTCACCTCCCCTTGTTCCTATCTGCAACGTAATTTGTAAAAAAAAAAAAAAAAAAAAAAAAAAGTCAAGTAACAGCGACATAGGATTTATTAGGAGAAAACAGGCCTCCTCACTGGCAGGATTCACACTCCAAGGACACCAAGGAGATGCATGCCCAAGAAAGCAAGCTGCAGAATTTAACGGGGAAAATGTGAATATGAAGATTCTGTGGGTTTTACCCAGCTTAAAGTAACAAGGCTCAGACGCACAGTCCTGGCTACCCAGAATATAATATTCTTTGCTGGGAGTAGATTAATCCACTCCAGAGGAAGCTCTGACAGTAAAAGGATAAAGAGTAATTAAGAGACATGACTACAGAATAATGAGAATTTCAAAGGGAGAGGATAACAAGTAAAAATCTCACATTTAAACCTACTGGCTAATAAAACCTTTCCCTTAGAAGCTACCCAAGTTTCTTTTGTTTGTACCACAGCTTTTGTCATTTCTCCCCCATTTCCATTTCTTCTTTCATCTGCTATAATATAAAATCTAAGCATATTTTAGTTTGCACTTACTAAAATAAAGCTTCATTTTCTCCTCTGCCTCCCCACCACTTAGTCCTTCATTAATTCTACCTTTTTGAAAATTTACCATAATTACAAGAGAAATGCGTATTTCTTATTAGAAGACACAGAAAAGCAGACTGAAATATTAGAATCACCTAAAGTCCTGAATACGAAACGTTAAATGGATTGATGCGTATCCTTATAGATTTTTTAAAAAATTTAAATTTATTTATTTATTTATGGCTGTGTTGGGTTTTCATTTCTGTGTGAGGGCTTTCTCCAGTTGTGGCGAGCGCGGGCCACTCCTCATCGCGGTGTGTGGGCCTCTCACTATCACGGCCTCTCTTGTTGCGGAGCACAGGCTCCAGACGCGCAGGCTCAGTAGTTGTGGCTCACGGGCCTAGTTGCTCCGCGGCATGTGGGATCTTCCCAGACCAGGGCTTGAACCCGTGTCCCCTAAATTGGCAGGCAGATTCTCAATCACTGCGCCACCAGGGAAGCCCATCCTTACAGATTTTGTCCAGTGTGCACGTACAAGTGTCTGCACATGGCACTCAGGCGCGCACACATAGTCTCTTTCTCCTCTCTCTCATCTACTAGGGAACTTGGAGCTTTTGAACATGGCCAGTTACAAGCCAAGGCTCTGGAGAATAGAGTTCATTCCACCCACCACCAACAGATGGCGGTAAGGGTTGACGAGTTATTTTAGTATTGGTCATCCCAGTTGGAAACTCAATTAA